AATCCAGGGATCTCCAAACTCGACCACTTTAAGACTTGTGGACTTCAACTCCCAGAATCCCCCATCCAGTCACGCTGCTGGCTGGGGAATTCAGGGAGTTGGAGTCCTTGAGTCTTAAAGTGGCCGAGTTTGGAGACCCCTGCTGTGGTCCCCCCAGCAAGGTTTGCCAACCTTACTCCTTTCAAAATGGCTGGCCTACAACTCCCAGAATGTCCCGTCCAGCCAGGCAAAGTTACAAAGTTATCCGCTTCTCGTCTTCCTTCTCTCCTCTCCCCATGACAAGCTCTGTCTCCGTGCTCCGGCAGTGCATGGAGGATGAATCACTGGCCAAGTTCTTCCGGGAGAGGCAGGCCACTCTCTCGCACTCGCTGCCTCTGGAGACGTATCTCCTCAAGCCGGTCCAGCGAATTCTGAAGTACCATCTGCTGCTGCAGGTTAGTTGGTGCCGCTTTGGATTCCTTGGTGGTCTCTGAGCTGGGTTGGTTTCTTGCAGACGTTTCGTGACCCAACTAGGTCATTGTCATGGTCCTGTCGGAATCTGACTTGGAGGGGGAGGCCGAGCAGCTGACAGGGAGTGGGAGTGGGGCTCCATTGGCTGTGGAGGAAACTGGGGAAGGGCACAGTCCGGCTGGGTGGAATAGGGGAGAGGTAGAACAAGGGAGAGGGAATTTGGAGGAAGACCCAGGCCCCTCTTCATCCTAGAGCAGGCAGGGAGTAACAGAGAAGGGAGCAACGTGGGTTGCGTGGCTTATGGGGGAGGAAAGGGCCCTGATTCCCTTCATTAGCTGCAGCTGGAAACACAATGTTTAAAAAGGGAAGCTGCGCACAGCAACTTGTTGGGAGCAAATCGTGAATTATCTGGTATTGTGGAGGCTTATTTGGGTTCCTGGCGTCTTCCCAACTTTGTGTGTTTTGCTGTACTTTTAAGTCTGCAATTCCTTCTCCTGCCCTGTCAAGTTAATTACTGCAGTGTGGTTTGTGTGGACTTTTAGTTACAGTCTGTATGCACTTTGTTTTCGGACTGAATTTCCTCCACTTAAAGGCTGTTCCTGGGAGAGTTTATTCTCCAGCCGAAGGTAACCTGGACATTGGGGGCCAAGTTGGAGGTATTAAAGGGACTCTTCTTGCTTATGTGACTGTGTTGCCTTTGTGCCACACCCCTTTTGGGTCATCATCACAGTAATCTTACCAGTGCTAGAAGGGAGTAGGGTTTGTGGAGAAGAGGAGGAGGAGGAGGAAGACTGTGGCGTCCTTGGGGTGCTCTGAGCTTGGTGTTTTTCTTGCAGACCTTACATTACCAAACTAGGTAATATCATCAGTTTTTCTGAGGAGGGTGTTTGCTCTCTGTTTCTATACAGTATGTTGGCTTGCAGTCTGTGCAGCCTATACCCAGATAAGCAGGGATTAATACCAGACAAGCAATCAAGCAGAAAGCAATATCCCAATCAAGGAATGATAGAGAAAACTTACACCAACGCTGGCAGGACAAGCTACTCAGTATAGAAACAAACCATTATCAGATCCCTGTTCATTTTAATGCTGTTATATTTCTGTATCTGTGTAGTTATTTATTTGTTACACTTATACGCCTCTCATCCCACCAAGAGGTGACTACATGATAAATGAATTTATTATATTGCAAATCATCCAGAGTTGCTTCAAAGTCAGAAATAACATCCTGTAAAGTAAATTGGATGCAGAATTTAACTCTTCAGCGGAAACCATTCTTGAAAAATTGGGTTGGATATGTATTAGTGGCACATCTGAAGTGCGGATTCTCTTCTGCAGAGACTGACTTACAATTGCCAAGTTGTTTCTCAGATTCCCACTGAATGAACACCTCTCGTCTCTGACCCCCACCCCACTTTACCCCCCCCCCACAAACCCGTTTTCTCTACCCAGGAACTAGCCAAACATTATGACAAGAGCAGTCCTGGCTACGACTCGGTGGAAGAGGCTAGCATCACCATGACAGCTGTGGCTTGGTACATCAACGACATGAAGCGGAAACAGGAACATGCCAGTCGGCTGCAGGTGCGCAGGGGCCCTTCCTGGCCATGGGAAAGAATTCGTCCTTTGGGGTTTGGGAAGGGTCAGCTCACCTGGGCTGTTTTAGCCCATCTGCTGGGGTGGGGTGGGGAGGATGGATACTGGCATCCCATTCCTGCCTTTGGAGGCCCTTGGTGCTCTCTGAGCTGGGTGGCTTTCTTGCAGTCGTTTCATGACCCAACTAGGGAATATTATCAGTGCTGGAAGGAAGGAAGGAAGGAAGGAAGGAAGGAAGGAAGGAAGGAAGGA